TTGATTTTCAGCGTTTCATTCTGAAAACAGAAGCGTTTTCAAGTCTAGGCAAAAATGGAGGGAGCTTCAGGGGTGATTTCAATACAGTTCTCACTATTCTTAGAAAGTAGAGTAGCCAGGGGCACCTGGGTGGCTCAGTCAGTTAAGCCGCTGACTTCAGCTCAGGTCACGGTCTCAGTTTGTGGGTTCAAGCCCCACATTGGGTTCTGTGCTGACAGCTCGGAACCTGGACCCTGCTTGGGATTCTGTGTCTCCCTCTCTCTCTGCCCCTCCCCTCCCCTTCCCCCCGCTTATGCTCTGTCTCTGCCTCTCTCTCTCTCTCTCTCCCTCAAAAGTAAATAAACATTAAAAAAGAAATTTAGAAAGTAGAGCAGCAAACACATCACAGCTTTGCAAGGTTTGAGCAACAAAGTAAAGATATGAATCGAGCCGCTGATGGGTAGACTCTTGTCTGAAACTGGGCCGTGCGTCTCACAGGTACTGATATGTTGTGTTTTTATTGTACTTTAGCCCTAAATTCTTGTACATTTTTAGCATGATTTCTCCTTGGATCAATGAGTTCCCCAGAAGTATGTTTTTATACCAAGTATACGTGCAGCTATAAACACTTACCTTTTTCTGCGGATACTGGTATGCTTTGATTCCTCTCTCTCTATCTTTCTGGTACCTACTAGTGGCTTGGCTTTGCCGGCTCCGTGAAGCTCACAGAAAGCTCAACAGTCTGTGTTGGATGATCTGCCCGTGATCTTTCGGAGCTTTCTGGGTGTGTAACGAATCGCTTTTTTCTTTTGTTGCTTTTTATCTCCTTTCATTAACGTCTTTGTCTTTGCCTTTTGACAATATAATTATTATGCATCTTGGTGTGGGTCACTTTGGATTTATCTTATCTGGTGATTGCTTTGGGCTTCCTGGATCTGGATGTTCGTTTCTTCCTCCATGCCATGCACGTTGCTGGTCATTTCTATGAACAAGTTTTTTGCCCCCTTTTCTCTCTCCTCTCTTTCTTTTTTTTTTTTTT